CGATTCAGTCCATCATGGCGGACTTCAGCAGTGCTCAAACACGGCTACAAGCGAGAATCGTCACCTTGGAAACAGAGTAACAACAACAACAAATTTATTTTTGTATAGCGCATTATCACATCATTACATTGTCCCAAAGCTCTTTACAGCATCCCCACCCAAAGCCCCCAGTAAGTAAGCCATAGGCGACAGTGGCAAGGAAAAACTCCCTAGAAGGAAGAAACCTTGGGAGGGACCAGACTCAAAGGGGGAGCCCGTCCTCCAGGGGCCGGCAGGGAGAGTCAAATACAGTTAAATCTGAAACACAAAAGGGGAGCAGGGGGGAGATGACAAGCCGGTGCCACCGCTCCCTCCAATCGCCAAGCAGCCAGAAGGCAGGGAGCGTTTCATACAAGGAAGATGACACAGGCAGAACGGCTAGCTGGATGCACGGATGCACCACATTTTTTATATACATTCCACTAACTAAAACATCACTATCTTTTCCATAACATGCTCATGCTATAAATATTTCAGCCTTCTCCCATCTTTGAGTTTTGCATAAACAAGTAGAAACATTTTCTTCTGAAGCCTTGTGTACTACATTTCATTTTGTATTGCGGGGATTTTTATAATTACAAAATATTTGGATTCCTGTTTGTTTTCGTAAAGATTACGGGAAAAGGATGAGAAATCAAAAGGGCGTGAATCCCGAACTGAAGATCTGCACGTAATTGGAAAACTACATGAAAGACTCAATGAACGAGAACAAGTAATTAAACGACTCCTTGTAAGTATTTCCCCACATACCATTTAGCCATTTCTATTGATGTTTGTCGTGGGCTATTCAAATATGTGAAAACCCCAGTACTTATCAAATAATCACTAATAACAAATTTGGGGCTCTGAGGCTGGCAAAATAATTAGATTGTAGTAAATCATTTTATGAAAGTTTGTCGAAGTACAAGAAAGATATTGCCTAGTGTTGAGCTACACAGGGTAGCTGGCTAGGGCCCCTACTGTCAATGGTAAAGAACTACAGTCTTTAAATGAATCTTACCAACAGTGGTGGAATGTAACAAAGTATTTGTACTTCGTTACTGTACTTAAGTACATTTTTACGTATCTGTACTTTACTTAAATAAAAATAATAATGCATACTTTTTATTTTACTCCATTACATTTTGCGGAAATTATCTGTACTTTCTACTCCACTACATTTCTACAATTTATGCCGTTAGTCGTTACATTTTATGAACACAATTTCCTCAAAATCTTGCATGAAGAAATAGTTAGCCTATTGCGTTCTGGCGTTGTTTGCCATTTCCTACCAATCAGGTGGCTTTATTAGCTCCAATGATGGCAGAGCGCGTCAATTAGCAGCACGAGCTGGTAGACTGGCTTGATTTCAAGAAGACGAGACATTCAACATGGACCCAGAGCCAACATCGGCTCTTAACAGATGTGTTGAATAGTTTTGCAAGTACATAAATGATTTAAAGACATATCATGTCCTGATTGGTTTATCTTAATGGTATATTAATGGGTAATACCTAGTAGATAACTTGTCATCCACATAATTCTAAGTTAGGGTACACACAGTATTGCAGAGTGCACGCACAATAAGCACACCAAACCTTCCAATACACATATACTGTATAGTTGCTTGTAATTATTACGAGCAATGACATCGGTAGAGGAAGTCAGTATATCTACTATTCTTTTACAAAATGGCACACCCCAGATGTTGAGACAAACCATTGTGTGAGTACTTTTACTTAAAAAATACTTTAAAGTAAATTTAAAAGTAAGTACTTAGTACTTTCACTTAAGTAAGATTGTTGATGTAGCACTTCTACTTTTACTTGAGTACATATTTTGCAGGATATTTGTACTTTTACTTAAGTACTAAGCTTCAGTACTTCCTGCACCACTGCTTACCGAGGCATCGTTCATGGTGTTTCAAACAGCAGCAGTGTAATCTGCCTTAGTGTTGGTTACGGGTCACTGCCGCAGCCCCGGATAAGCAGGCGGACGTTTACATTTACAGCATTTAGCAGACGCTCTGTTCCAGAGCGACTCACAACCAGTGCTTTGTAGTCCATGACTGTTCTTCCACCTATAATCTAGACCTAAAATCAACAACTGTCAACAAGATCAAGTTAGCGCCAAGTATGTTTTATATTTAAAAACCTTGTTAGGAAAAAGCAGTGGAGAGTAAGGGGGAATTAGTCTCCTACGTACTCTTATGTTAAGATAAGATGGGATTTAACACTAAATTCTGGTTATGTTCTCAGGAAGAGAGACATCAGCTACAGCAACATCTCCACGTGCCCAGTGACAACGCGGCCAAGGCCTATGAGACCAGGCCTCAGCCGGGGAGCTTGACCCCCACATTGAGGGTAATGAGAAACTAAGTACTTATACTTAGAAACAACTCATTCCCAATTCTGGTAAAGAATGAGCAAAATTCATAGTTGTTCAAATGTACACTATGGTAACTTTATGCATAAGCACAGATGCAAACCTGTTTAATTCTGCAGTTTGCAGTATTGTCATTCAAAAAACAGGTGGTCGTTTAAATAATTTCCCTGGACCTCACCTGTCAGAATTAATACAGATGCTCCTCTACTTTTGAACTTTCAACTTACGAATTTTCAGACATACGAACAAAGAGGACTGCAAGTCCAAATTGTGTTCATTGGGCTCCCATTTCCTGTCCGCAACATCAAATATTGTTCTTTGCGCCAATTCTGCCTAATATGACTTCTGGCTGCTACTCGCACCGTGCAGCAGTGTAGCGTGCGTACTCCCAGCATCCTACTTCTTTGTACTTGCGTATCGGTAAGACGTGCTCTCTTGAGATCAAAGTTTACTTCATTTTTATTGCGAAATATTCTGTGCATCCATTATCCATTTTTGTTTTATGTATCATTAGTAATGTGTTTTAAGACAAGAATGTATTGACTTTATATCATACTTACCGAGTACCCATAAAATGATGTTGAATAACGACTTACGAACACTTCGTTACAAACGGCCGTTAGAAACGTAACTCGTTCGTACGTAGAGGAGCATCTGTATTCTACTTTTAAGCTATTACATATTCGATATGGCCTGGATAACTTTCACATTTCTAACGTTTAACCTGCAGTGTTCTAGTTTAAAGTAGTATTAGTTACATTTGAAAAGCAAAATATAAGCGACTTGGCTTTCTGTTTAATGCTATGTGGTTAATGGGTAGATTATTCCTATAATGATACAAAGTTACTTTCCATTATTGGGGAAGAAGAAAAATATGGAGGAGAAGCCACCTCGAGTCACCAGCGTCCCAAACCTCACCTTATACGAGAAAGGCTTCCTGATACCAGACTCTGTGCCAGGGGCTCCCTGCCACCAGACTGTGAAGTCCCCTAGTTTCGAGTACAGCCGAAATGTGTCCCGAACTGGTACCCCCACTGGCTGTGCCACCCTCATCCCGGAACTCAGACAGGGGGCGAGATACAGCAGATCGCCCTCGGAGGAGCCACAGCAAGCCCTTGAAAGCTACAGTCAGCCTCCCAGGTCAGTTAACAGTGTGAATGCACAAGTACTGGAGCTTCTGTTGCAATTCCAAACTGTCTGCACATTCAGATTTCTCTGAAAATATTTCCCCTATATCTCTGTTCCAAATTCGGCTGGCAGTGTAAGTTTTGCATATTAACCACTGATATTGTCACGATTAAGTTGTCGGGAATCCAATGAACGCTTCATACTGTCTTTCAGGAACCCGTGCGAACAGAGACTGCTGGAGTCTGGACCCGATGCACAGGACCCCCAGAGACAGGAGTGGTTCACCAAATACTTCTCCTTTTGAACAGAAGTCACTGGGAAGCATCCATTTCAAAAGCAGTAAAGCGAAACGCTACACCAACGCTCTTTTCCAATTTTGTGTCAAGCAACAATGTACCTAAGCTGGATTTCTCTGTTTTTCCATTACATACAGGAAGCTATAGTTGGCCGCAGACAGAATGGCAACATGGCTAGCTTAGCGAAAAGGTTACTTCCTGCAGCATTAAATAATCAAATAAAATGGCAATATATAAGAAATCTTAAACATCTTATGTGCAAGCCAATAGTCCAGCCAAATAGAAACTATTATTGGGTTTTTTTACAGTCTTTCAATTTTGCAACAGCTACCTATAGGGGTTTGAACGATCAAGGGCTAAAGACCACTAACAAGAAACATTTTCTTGCAAAACTCTCTTCAAACTGAATTGAGAAAACAACCAAAACCAAATGAGCTCCACTGAGAAATGTTGGGATTTATATGCTCTTAAAATTTCCCTTTTCAGTATATCTGAAAAAAAGACCATTTCAAAGAGGAGTTTTTGATTAGCAACGTAAAACCTCTCTTTTATATAACTTTCCATGACAGTATTTCAGCAGAGAATTCAGATAGTCTTTTGAATGTAACTGGTTGAAAGCGAGGTTGAAAATGTCACAGACTGGCAATGGTAATGGAAACAAACACTTTTCTGTTCATCTCTGTATAACTCAAAACTGTACAAAAAATTGGAGTGATCTTCCAGAAACTGCTTTGAATGGCTGTGACTATAGGCCCATTCAATACACATCAGCAATTAATATACAAATAAATGAATATTTTCTCTAATATCCTTGCAGTTGTATAGTTTCAGTGTTGAGAAGCAGTGGCATAGTGGATATAGTTTTTTTTTTTTGTAAAAGTTAAACAGCATATAACAGTGTTTCCCAACCCAGTCCTCAGGGAACCCCGGACAGTTCACGTTTTTGCTCCCTCCCAGCTCCCAGCCAATCAGGAACACTGAATACCTGGTACAAGTGCATGGGAGCTGAGAGGAAGCAAAAACGTGGACTGTCCGGGGTTCCCTGAGGACTGGGTTGGGAAACACTGGCATAGAACATTTGGTATAATGTGACATTTTCTACCTACAAAATTCCAAATTTTGTTTTATTAAAATGTAATTAGGTTTATTAATAATCACTCAATCACTGAAGGCTTTATAGTATAAAATGTATTTTCTTCAAAACATTTATATTACAGATATCTAAACCTTGAGCTGAGGAAAAACCAAATGTACAATTGAAGAGGACAACAGTGTCACTGAAACAGACTGCAGCATTCTAAGACATTAGTTGCAGAGTTGAATCCCAGCACCTCATTATAGAAACCAGTTAGGCGTTTCTTCAGGTCCTTCATGGGTTTTGAAAGTGTCTTCTGCTGGTATTTCATGGAAAGCAGTTTGTCCACCAGGTAATGGAGCCACAGCACATTTGTATGTGGGTTATATTCATTCCAGCTATTGCTGTTGGAATAAAAGGAAACATAGCATCTAATATTAAACTAACCAGCAAAGTAACATTGTATCACAGATCTAATACAATCTAAACTCACTTGTTCTCCTCCCGCATCTTGCGATAAATGTCAAACTGATAGTCACCCGTCCCCATAAAGAGTTCCTCATCAGCAGAAATGTCACAGGAGACCGTCAGATCATCTATAAATGAAAATTCAGGTTTCTATCGGTGTTTGTTTCAATTCAGATTAGGTTTACAAAAAGTTTGTCATAATTTTTTAAATTATTATTATTTCCAGAAAGAGGTAGGAGCACTGACCTATTTCAAGTCTTGATAAGGAGTAGTCAATGATGTTGACAAGGACACCTTTGGTTTCAATTGTGTGTGGCACCTCGTTCAGCATGAACGTCCATTCCTTTTCCTTGGTGCTCTTCACTAGGATATTACCCCAGTGCAAATCCCTTATGGAGGAAAACATTCAGTTACCATCACATAATGCAATGAAGGCTTGGCATTGATATGACATTTAACAAATCTGATACATTCTCAACAGAATCCAAGTTAACCACTTAAATACATTCCTTTGTAAATGTACATTATGATGGGAAAGGGGAAAAAAAAAAAAAAAAACAAAACACACACACACACACACAAAGTACTACATCCTTACCTGTGCTCAAAACACAGGGCTTGTTCAGCTACAGCAAGAGCAGCAATGACCTGGTGCAGAATGCTTTTTGCATGAGCCATAGACGAAATCTGCCGATATTTTAGAAGAAATAATAAAAAAAAAAAAAATGAATGAAATATTTCAAAATCCCCTTAAAAACCATTTTGTTTGTAAACAACATTTATAGCGAAAAACACAAATAGCAAAACGTTAGTGTGGGGAAAAACATGGAATTGTAAAACTACCTTGCCGTTCATGCTCTCCAGATCGCTACCACCAAATTCAAATTCCAGGATGACAAAGATCTGATCCTCCCCAAAGAAATCTGAGAATATGGAAACAAATATTTACCCTCCAGCAAAAATTCACTGGCAGTACGAATACCATTTCACAACAGGAAGACATTCGGCAACAGCTTACCAGGACGATCATTCTCCGATACTCTCTGCTTGTGAAACTTGTCCCAGGCTTTCAGGAGTAACTCAGGGTAAGATCCACGCACACAGTGTAGGCTGAAAACAACACCTTTAAGCATGAATTCCACCTTTTCACTATATTTATTCGGAATTGCTGGAAATTCACGATCCTAAAAGAATTTAAAAAATGACTTACTTTTTCAGTCCTATAAAACCTTTTGTTTGGTTTGCTTCTCGTTCATCCAGGCTACTAAGCTCTCTGAAAGAAAACATTTCATGTCAAAGTTCTTTATGAACAACAATCTAGTGGATTTAATACCTGGAATATTTCAGTATTCAAAAACTGGGTAAATTTATCCCCTTTATTTTTAATATCACAAGAAAGTGAACATACTTTGAAATAATTATTTCGTGAAGCACTTCACCAAATGTCTTCTGGTCTTCTCCATTCACTTTCTGGTTACCCTCAATGGGAATTATCTGTCAAATAGATCCCAATACAGCCATGTTCAGAGCTGGTGCTTCTAGTATGTAATATTGGGGAGGAAATGAATGGAGGACCTACCTTCAACGCCACAGTTTCCATGGAGTCCCCGATGGTTGAAAACACTTCTCCAAATGTACCCTCACCGATCTTCTTGCACCGCTTCATTCTTTGAGGTGTAATGCACTCTTCAAAAGTAATTGGGCCTTCCTGCTGGCACTCTTGGTAAACTTTTTCTGCATCTGTGATGTCCTAAACAAAAAAAAGTGTCAGAGGTCAAACCCTGAAAGTTTCCATTGCTATACCATCAATACACTCAAACGCAGAGGCGGACATTTCAGGTCCCAGAAAGTAAAAATCCTGGTTTGGATTTTTACTTTCTGGGACCTGAAATGTCCACCTCTGCTCAAATGACGTTTTACTAGATTTGCACCAATTAGTCTGGTGACCAATGCTGCATGAGATACACACCCTACCTATGACCCAGACCAGGAAAAGCAGCACCACCACAAAAACTTGAACCTGACCTGAAACCATCCATTTTCAGTAACTATCAAATTAGATCCAGGACCAATACCAGGATGCAAGACAGAGAACATGTAGAATTGTGTACTACTTTCCACTGAACATTTAATAATAATAAAATGTTTGTGCCATAAAACAACTAATTTAATGACTTTCAATCAGTTGCTAGTATAAATACAGCAGATGTAAGCCATTTTCTCCACCATGTGGGGTATTTTCATGTAACCATACTAAGGATTTTTAAACAGCAAGCCTACTCGGCATTGCATGTCATTTTGGCATTTTCTAATAAACCTTGGAGGGAGGGGGAAAACAATGATATAAATTGTGAGTTCTCTCCACATTCAGATTATGGAATATGAAATGCTTGTTCGCATTCGCTTCGAGACAGGAGTGGGGGGCCAGTTATGAATATAGACACTCACCAAATGGGGGCCCTCTGGACTTTTCAGCAGGCGCGACATCACGAGGGTAGAGTGTGGGGAACACCCAGCAGTCAGAAAATCGCTGCTCACGTCCAACAACTCAGACTCACTGGACTGGTTGTGGGAAAGAAGCTGCCTTTTGGGTGTGAGAAAGGCTGTAACAGAATGAGAGCTTGAACTTTCAAGCACCCATTTGACATAATAATCCTGACATCACAATTTAACATGTAAAAATAGAACATTCAACAAAACAACACATAAAGTTACTGAAAAATACTTAACATGTTTCAACAGCACAGTAAGGAAGTGACAGTTCTGAAGACAGACACTGTTACAGTTTGCCTTGATCTACTATTCCTTACCCTTCTTCTTCTTATGAACTGACAGAGCTGCTTTAAGTCTGCTCCAGGTGTGAGTGGTCAGGCAATCTGGACCCAGGCCGGCCAAAAACGTTGATACGTTCATGGACTCCGAGTGCATCGATGTTCCAGGAAACAGATCACTGGTACCGTGCAACCAGCTGTTCATCGTATCCTGGAAAAAGACATTTTTCAATAAATTAAAAAGAAAGACGTGTGATCCAACCAAAATTGGCATCAATTTCTTCCACTTAAAAAAAAAAAAAAAACATATCCTTATTACTTGAGTTACATTATATAACATAGTACACTTACAAAACATTTCCTGTTGAGTCCAAATCTGGAATCATAGGGGTGATCTTGTGTCTTTGACAGGAGTGACTTTGTAAGGCTTTGCTTAGGTCCCTGATGACTTTTCTTGGTCCATCTGCTCACACTCAACCCACTGACGCAGGCTTTTCTTCCCGTCCCCTGCTTGTCCTTGGCAGACTCTTGAACTCTCAATGTACTAACGTCCCGTTTACCACCGGGGGGAGAATCGAGAAGACTTTCCACCCTAGCCGTTCCTGAAGTAAACATGGAACTCAATTGCCTGCGGAGCCGTAAGTTTTGGTCCCTGCTGTTCAGCTCATGTCCCACTCCTTCCTCTCCAGAGCAACCAACCAACATCTCTGCCTCGACACCTGACACCTTCACCATGCAATTTTCTTCCTCCCGAAAACTGTGCCTAGGTGTAGAATCAAAGCCATCTTCTGCTTGCGAGCCTCTGCTGTTGTAGTCGTACTTCGAAAGGTCGAGACATTTGAGTTTTACGGTGGGCTGTAGGGAAATGCATCTCTCCTTCAAAACAGCCTCAGGTGATCCCACTGACAGAGAGCCACCACTTGGTATTTGGGAATCATCTACTGGAGGTAAAATACCTCGGCAAGGCTCACTTCTATCCTCTTGTACCATTTCAGCAAATACGTCCATGCAGTATTCAGTAACTAGGTGTCCATTTGCTCGTTTGTCACAGTCAGAAACACTGTTTAAGTTATAGGAGGGCTCCAAAACATCTCCCCCTTCACTTTGAAGCTCACGGTTTGACAATGAATTAGTGGATTTTGATATGTATACCACAGAGGGGCTCTCTTTGTTTTTAAAATCATTTAACTCCAACTCCAATCCTTGATTATTTACCTCATTAACTTCAGTCTGACATGCATTACCCATATTAGTACAGTCTTCCTTTCTTAATTCCACTGCACCATGTAATTTGCTTCCAGACTGATGGCAACTAAAATCCATCTCACAATCACTGGATGTGAAGTACACTTCTCCCTCATTTGAGATGTGACTCAGATGGAAATTTGAGACCTCAATTCTTTCTAAACATACATTAGGCTTGAAGGTTCTGCATGATTCTTTCAGACTTGAGACAAGAGAATCTATAGAAGTGTTAACGGACACAAAATTACAGTCTTGGCTGGACTCTACAGAAAAATCGGTTTCTAATAGACGTCCATGAGTTGTTTCACCTTTATCTTCAACTCTATTCTCCACATGAGAAAGTTTCTTGCCGTGCTGGGAATTTGTGCTATTTTTCCGAGAGTTACGCAGCTCTCTAGCTATTTCACTAAGGCTTACGTGCTCTGAGATTTGTAACTGTGGTGGTTTGCTTAATGTAGATTCCACATTGGACCTTAAGGCATCATTTTCATCATCATTGTTGTTGAAGGATATTTTACTGATAGAGGGATCACAATGCCTGTAATTAAGTTTATGTGAAAGAGAAGGGGTACTGGACAGCAAGGGCTTTTTATAACAGCTTTTGGATGTTCCATCAGCTGTCCTGCACATTGATACATTCTTTGTAAGATTTTCCATATGGGTAAGGTTTGAGAATGCACAGTCAATTTCAGATCTTGCACTGTCCAAAAACATGTCATCTTTTTGTTGAGAGGCTTTCCTTGTAGCAACACGTTGAGGAGGAAAGTGTGGGCTGTTCACAAAGTTATTAGTTGAATCAAGGCTGCTGTTAAAGATACAGGCCTATAGGAGAAAGATTCAGAACACAGTGAATGAGCAAAGACAACAGAAAACACGGCAAAGATGAAAGCACTTCCACAGATAATTTAAGCAAGACTGAAGTGACATTTCTTACATTTGGTTTTGCCTTCATTCTTTTTACCTTTGCGCCATTATTTTTTTTTAAATTCATTCTTCTTCGATCAGTGACAAACTTTCCTGAGGCTGAAGGTAGACCTTCAACATTACTAGACCTTTAGGGGGAAAGAAGATGGAGTTGAATGTTCTTTTCACGAATGTAATGACCCGGTGTGGAAGGCCATCTGATAAGTGCTAAATTTACTGAATTGCATGAGAATATGCAAGTAGAAAAAAAGATCCTTACTTCACACATTTTTCACTTATGTTCTCACTTGTCTTTCCTTGTTCTGATCCAAATCTGGGTTTCTTTCTTCTGTTTGGCTTGTCATCTTCACTTTCAGAAGTATGTAATGTCACCGGACCCTTTCTTTTTGTCTGGATTGAAATTCCCTTTGTGGACGGGTTACTGCTTCTGTTAATAGAAAACCACCCTTAATTTAATTTTAAATTAAACCACTTGATAATAAAAGGCCCATTTTAAAACTATAGATTTCAACACGTGAATGCCTATTGCAGTGGCATGTCGCATGGACTGTCATACACAGCAAACTATCATAAGTGGAATGAGGGGTGGGCGATATGGCAAAATATCACGATGATTCACGCTCTTATCACGATTCTATTACCATGTTCGTTTTTAAGTATATTTTGCAAGTTATTGAACAGTACAACCAAACTCATTTAAAAATAGCTGTCATTTGTGTTGTGTCAGTTTTGGAAAATCCAAACAAGTTCCATATTATCAACGACAAATTCTTTTTAGGGACCAACTCCTCCATGTTGTCCATGGGAAAAGGGAATGTGTGGCATGTTGCTCATTGCATTGAAGGGTGCAAAAGGGGGAGAGGAAAAAAATCCAAGACACTAGTTATTGTTTGCTATTTTTGGTGTGTCAAAACAGATTTGCTGATAAAAACAACTTTAGATGTGCGCATGAGCCATAGAACTGCCACTGGCAGAATGTGCACTTTAGCGCAATACTAACAACCTCCCCGTAAATGCAGATTGCGGAGACATCTTTATCGTCCATGATCTAATATCGTCAAATTGTATGCCCCTGAGTCCAACTCACTTCGATTAATTGTCCTACCTTTTCTGACCACCAGGGCCGTGATAAGTGTCTGGGATGAAAAAATTCTCTTCATCACTGTCGATCAGTCTCAAAGCTGTCAGGGCCTTCTGCTTTGCTATTCGTGTTGACTTTGAATATGCAGTAGACTGGGTTCTCTTCCTGAGAATTAAAAGAATCCGTATCAAAATTTGCAAAGATGGCACAGACAGGACAAGAAGCTACAATGGAGCCTGTTCGTAGAAAAAGGTGGTCACCCAGTCAAATGTGGGATACAATCAACTGTAGAGATAAAACAGCTTAAAGGAAAGGTGGAAAAGCATGTCTGTCTTATAAAAAAATTAACTCACATTTTCCGTCGAAGGTTTATGATGTTGCTCAGCTCACCGAATGACAGATCGGACGAAGAAGTGCTTGAGAAAGCTTTCTTTCTGGCATCAGGAGACAACCACGTCTCCACCTTAGTTTTGTGCTTGCCATAAGTTCTTAGAACCAAAGGATTTCTCTTCCACGTAGTCATTTCTGCAATGCTGCTAATGGCCCGTGAAAGACTGAAATACAATATTGACGTTATGACCAAAATTATTCAATGTTAAGTTGTTTGAAACACGTTTAGAACATAAAAGCCGCAGGACTGACATTTCCATCTATATATAAATGGATACCACCTATCATTAAGTTAAAAAATTGGCTATGACAGATACTGTTTTTTCATAAAATAATTTCCTTGATTTATTAAAATTCATGACATATACATCAGAATATCTGGTTAAATCCCCGACAGAAGAGACCTAACGATAAAAAGTTTTTTTTCCCCTGTTTATTTATACTGTGTATTTTTCAGTAACAAAAAATAAATACATATGAATCAAAATAACTATTATACAGCTAAAACCAGGAAGCAAAATGAAGTGTGTCTATTTACGAATGGTTGGTATAGGTTCCTATACCCCCTCCAAAGACGTACCTAACTGACAAAAAAGCAGGAATTACGGAACCATTTTCCTCATGAATAAACTTTTTTACATAAATTCACTTTTTTCAGCTTTGCAAAATATTTGGTAAAATACCGCGTTGAGTGTTTTAGCTCCATGGTTATACAATTAATAAATGTAATGGACAACGTGAAGAAAGAATATTATATCAATACAAAAGCATATTTATCAGCTTAAGCAATATGTTTTGCCAATTTATGAAAACCTCTTAGAGGGCAATATTAATCAAACCCCTTTCCAATAACATCAGTACGTAACACAGATACTGAAGCTAACTAGCTAGTTTCGACTACTCGAACAACAAAGGACATATACGCCGGAACTCGCAAAATTTCAATTGTTCTTGCCATACAGATTCTCTAAGTGCTAATTTAATTAGCAGCGGACAATGACATTTAAAATTATAAATAGCTAACTTACCAGACAATTAGGAACAGTGAAAACGGGCGCCGATCAGTCCGTTTTTTCGAGCTATGGTAAGCGCCCTATGTTCAAATACAGCGGGCCTCTGATTGGCTCGCCATACTTCAGACGGAAGTAGGAGGTGGTACTTCCGGTAACTGTAGTTAGAGAAAAATAGTGTTTTCTTGCCCGAAATGGCGTACTTTTTATCTTGCAGCAACTGTGTACAATGCTGGATGCTATATTGCTTCTTCTGCTCATTTGCGTTGTAATCACAATGATGTGATGTATCACAAAATTGACCAAAAGTTAACAAAAGCGTCATGTAAGTCGCATCTGGAGTGACACTTACGCTCTCAGACTCTCACGAAATATATTTTACGGCAAATCTATATTATTCCATTGTAAGCCTAAAATTAGCTACATCAAGCAAAGCGTTGGAGCAGTTTGCAAACCCTACAGACTATTTGAAAGGTAATACTTACATGTAAATATGCGTGCAGATTCGCCTTCTTAAAGGGAATAAAACCTGGTCCTCTCCATCATAGTCAATAAAAAGAACATATAGCCCTTTATCCTGATAGAAATCAATTTATTCTATTACCAGAAACACTAGAATGATGTACCTCTTAGTAATTCCTGGCCAGAATGTATTTGCATCGTTAATGTTTTATACTTGCCAATACCAAGGGTTTCTCAGTCTCCAAATAAAGTCTCAAGCAGTTATATATTAACATTGTATATGACACTGATAACTTGAGGGACATTTTCTATTGAAGAGCAATCAAAAGCAGTAAGTGAAGTATAATATACACTGAAATATCACACACTGGGGTTCAACATTCTTTATTCCTTCATCTCACCATGACAAATATTTAATTTTCTACTTTTCAGGTCGGCACTTAGGTCAAAGGCTAATTTTAACATAACCTGCACTATTTACTTACCAGAGTGTTTTAGCTTAGTCCAACAATCACATCAAGAAGTGATATATCATTCTTATGAAATAGTTTGTAGTATACAATGTCAAAATACAAAAAAAAACAACCTGTACAAATTCAAAAAATTTATTCTGAATTTAGCAACCCCAAGAATGATGCATTGATTCATATCAAATATTTACACAAACTAAATTTCAGCTTTTTTTTTTTTTTTTTTTTACATAATTCCAAGCACACACGAGTCAGTTTGGTTTCATAGGTGCAGGAATGTTGGCGGAAGCCTGTTCTAAGAATGCCAGTGGGCCCTGTGGAAGTTCTGTTGGTTTTTTATGTTGAACGTTAATGTCTTCCAGTACTTGTTGCCAGTGATGAATTTTGGCAAGATGTTTCTGTATTAAATGCTCTTTTCTCTGAAGCTCATTTCTGAGTTCTGACACATCCTAAAAGGAAATGAAATAAAAACCAGTTAAAAATTATGAAGTTGTGTTTACATAACAGGTGTTTTATCATCCAAAGTTTATGCATTTTTTTTTAAATGGGAGGTAAATTGTTAATGATGATGAGAGACATATATTCATGGCATATTCAGGGAAACACAGATTCCATACATAAAACAAAAAACACCGGGAGTTGCTAAAGACATTGCCTTGTAACAAGAGCTGAAAAGTACGGCATAATGAAATCCAAGCCAAAATAATATTTCATGAGGGGGGAAAATAAACCCAAATAAACTGTTTAACATGTAACCTACAAGCTCACCTCCTTTACAACCTGTTCTGGTTTTTGGACTGACAGCTGTAATCTTTTCTGCAGAAAAAAGCATTCAGTCTGCCGGGCAACATCCAGGAACTTTTGGATACACTGGTCAACTCCTGTGAACGAAAATCAGCATTTGATTACAATTTTGAACAATGTCCCAATAACACACTGATTTTATCATTTTAAGCACCTTTTCCTTACCGGTTCTAATTTCTTCCTGATCGGTTCCGTTAACATAGTCCTGGCTCACAAGGGATGCAAAACATGCCTGCAAGTCAAACAAGAATATTTTAACATATTCCACTTATCACTGCATTTAAAAAAATAAAAATCACGAAAAAAACGATTATTTTTTTTTAATCTAGAACAATTTTCAATGAGTAACAAAACAGAAAATGTGAGCTCTGGGACATAATAATAAAGAAAGACAGCATATTAATCGTGAACCGATTGCATTTCAGTTCGCTGTGGTACCAACTGGGTGATCGTATTGTCTCCTCTGGAGCATCAAAAGTTTAGGCCAAGTAATAATATACAGATATACCTGCTTAGTAACTACCTCGAACGAAGCTTCCAGATCGTCCACCAAAGTACTGTTGTTCGGACCCCTGTTCCCGGTAGTAACGGGTAGTAGGCCCGGTGGCCCAGGGGCACCAGCTGCCCCAGCAGGATGAGAGACAGTCGGTTGTTGTCCAGAAAACATCCCGCTCATGGAGGACGCCATTTGCTGCGACTCCCCACCGGAGGCGTCAGGACATGTGCAGTAGGGTGTCCGTTAGTCGTCACAGTCACGTGACGACAGCTCTCCCTATCAAACCGTAAATAAACTTTAATTTAATGCTGGGAGTTTTTTTTTGTTACTTTAATGCTGGGATTGTTACGCAGATACCCGGCAGTGAGTTCAGATAAATTAAATAAATGCGCAGAGCAATAGGATAATTTTAGCGACTCGTACAGGAGCGTATTGTGTAAACTTCAAGCGAGAAGGTGATTCTAATATGCTACATTTATATCTCCCACATTATGTATACAATCTCCATATGGTGGCGGTCAACACAAGAAGATATTTGGTACAATACTTAAAACAATTTTGAAATATAATAGATTGTAATGTATGGCAGTCAAATTATGTTGTCGAGGCGTGTTTTTAACGAAAAAAGCATGTTTGTCGAATTGGCTAACTACTGCAGAGCATGATGGGTATGATATTTGGAAGCTACTTAAATTTTATCATCTGCTACTGCTGCACGTGGCGTAGGCAGGCCCTAGGTATGAATTTGGAAAGGGGTGGGGGGGGCGGCAGGCCATTTTTGCCCCAGGGCCCAGTGTACAGTTGTTCCATCACTGTGAGTAGAGATGGGTTTTTAAACTTCCTTAAAGCAGGGACCCCCACATCAAAATGGACCAGACCTATAGAGACCCCCTACCACTACTGTATGTTCACAAAAACACATAAATACAATTTTTCACATTAAAAGTTTGCTCGGCCGCAGGTTGTCTTAAGTGGAGTTAAGTAAATTTTCTTTAATATTTTCCAAGTTTAAAAAGACAATCACACTTTCTCAAGACTATGCATCATTTAAGAGATGGTTTTCGACAAATCACTTTAGAATAAATCCAATACTTATGCAATGCATTTAATGTTATATTTACTTTTAATTTTTGTAAGGCTGCTACAGAGAAGACATTTCTCTCTGGTACCTTGCTTATATACATTTTAAAGTAGCAAGTGTAAGATATTTCTGCACCATTAATTTTCTCTCAAGTTAAAATTAAGTTTTCTTGAATTTGAAGACTCAAAGACTTGACAACAAGAACACATACTTGAATTCATTATCATTTGCAAGTTGCTTCAGTATTGGATCAATCTTGTTTTATTACTGCATGCAAATGATTGCCAAAGTAATCTGACCAGTGTCTTTCCATGAAATACTTGAAAATGTTCACGCAGATAAAATCACGTGGATTAAACTGACAGATAAGTTTCTGAGTTTTATTTATGATCAACAAAGACAATCTGAAACCGCATCAGTTGTTTGTCAAGGTATTTAACTTAGTCAATACAGTATTTATGTACATATTTAATAACATTGATATTTAATAACATTATTAAGTCCTACAATTATATGTATATTTGTTATGTCAAGCTTCGCTACTCAGGCTAGCCGCGAGCTCCACCAGCGTGCGCGTCGGCCTGCCAGACATGCCCTTGCGTAGGTACGGAACTTCGTCTTTGTTTGACATTACGCCAGCGATGTCCAGGTGGGCCCAGTGTGGCGTGGTCACAAACTCTTTCAGAAAGGCGGCTGCTGTGCAGGCTCCCCCCGACCTGAGGGCCAGCCCAATCCGCCCCCCCCAGAAAGTAAAACAAGCTACTAAAAATTGTTCCTGCGATGCTATATCATTAACTACGCAAACTTAGAAATCATACGCAGAAATAACTTCTTCGAAGAGTTTTACAAAGCAGTTACACACATACTTACACATGTATGCATATACTGTATATAAATCCTATTTTATATGACTTTACATCAGTACAGATGCTACTCGACTTACAATGAGGTTACGTTCCGAAGAACTCATCCTAAGTTGAAAATATCTTAATATGAATACAGTATGATAACACACTTGGGCGTTAGGTAGTTATAACGGGCCTTGAAAATTTAAACAGAAAAAAAAAATACTGTACGATATGTTGTTAAACACTGTACAAAATGTTAAACACTGTACGAGATGATTACGATCTCTATCGCTACTGAGACCGGAAGCATGGCTATCTGCAGACAGTTTCGTACGGCATATTGCTAGCTCGAGAACGGATCAAAATCCAAAAGTTTGAGGACTGTTGACTGTGCGTCGCTATCGCACCATCGTAAAGTCAGAATATCGCGAGTCGGACCATCGCGAAAGCGAGAAGCATCCGTGTTTATGAGAATCCTAACTGCTCCCTTGACTCACCGGCTGTATTTGCCAACGTTGTTGAGGTCTGCCAGCTGAGACTCGGTGACCTGCCGGGTGTAGTGCTGGAACAGAGGCATCCGCCACACCCTGTCTCCAGTGATGACGCTCACCTGAAATAAAGCCGAGCGTTGAAGCAGCACCCCAGAGCCACCGTACCGCGTCGTGGAAAACGACATTCATGCAGGTACCTTATGCAGCAGACTCCATAACCAATCAGAATTGGTAAACACTCCAGCTACAGCAGAACCCAAGGCCACATCCATGGCCCCTGTAGATGAAGGAGATGTTTGTCCTAATTCTCAGGTCAATCCTAACTTCTGTCAGCTCAGTCACACCGAATACTGAACGCCATCTGGTCTTCAAAAGCATAGCAACTGTATACAGTACAATCACTTAGACATCTTTACCTGTTAAGGTCGCAGCATTAACTATCGCTTTTGGGTTAAAGTTATG